TTATGTACTGTTTAATTTCAGATTTTCACTCCACCTTCGTACAAACATTGCAAGATCTCGATTATTCGACATCAAGAGGCATGTTTGTGCATAATTGCTTTAGACATGGCCATATTCTTCAGAAGGATGGATGGAAGTGCTCGTCTCTGGTCGGAAATGTATTGCAAAATAAAGTAAGAATAAATCCTGATTAATTTTAAATTCTTTTGACTTTGGTCTATCAAAGTATCAAACTATTGATTATAATATACAACTTTATATTTGTATTCATATTTGTGTTGTATATGTTGTAATTTCCAGACAATTGCGGGTGCTATTTCAGACTGGTATTTCGACAGAAATGATGTTAAATACGTAGATGCGAGCTCTGCCATACGGAATTGTAGTAGCAACTTCCATGGAAATACATTTGAGAGAAAATGTATTGGGTGCATGTGAAAAAGAAAGGCAATATATTATATATGGAAAATCTTGAATGCTTATGACCATTATTTCAATTTATGTCCTCTTATCCTAACAACACATGGATTATGTTTATATGTGTTGGGTTGGATACACTCGCAACACGTGGACACTAATGTAATTACTTTATTAGATTAACAAAGTAATTACAAAACACAATATGGACCAGGCTACAATACATCACTTATCAAGACCAAAGCACCCTATCTATGACACTCACTCACTCTTTTACTTAGACTCTTGGATGCTTGGATGATGCTTGGATTATTGGGGATACATTGCAAATGAGGTGGTCTTTCCTATTTATAGTCACCCCTTCCTCTAAAGAACTATCTAGAACTACTCACATTCAAGGGGCTTCCCTAACACTCTTGCCATTTCTAGACTATTCTAAAACTTACTAATATTATGTATAATGTTCTAGACTCATCCACATAAGTCTAGTTCCTACAATATTCCACAACCTTCTTGTAGTCTCAATTACCTTCTAGAATTTTCTACGTCCTTCCGCTAGCTTCCACAAGCTTCTCAATCCTTCTACAAAATTCCAGAACCTTCCACATTTTTCCGGATTGTTCTAGATGCTTCCGGGTCCTTCCCAAAAGGAGGTGTTGATATTTTAACATTCCCCCTCAACACCGACTTTTGCTCGTTCGTTGTTATTGGCCACCTTACGTCGAGAAACGCATCTTCACATAAGTTTGAGCTTGTAAATATTTTCCTCGTGTTCTTTGGGCTTGGTACTCGTACTCTCACTGATCTATGGGCTTGTGGGTTCTTGACACTTGACTGATCTTCTACTCTCATCCAATGCTTATTGACTTGCCCGTGACTTATTAGCTCGTCTTCAACTCTATCTTCCTTTGCCGATTCTTTTTCACCAGTGTCGGAGATTGGCAGCATTAAGTTGTCAACTGTCACCGTACGCTCTTCACTATATTCTGTCGAATCTGGTAACTCTTTCATGTCTCCTGTTTCGTCACCTGAGCTTCCAAGGTTATCTACCCATTCATCATTTGAGTCGACAAGCTCAGTGACCGTTGCCGTTAAAGCCATCTCGACTTCTTCACCAGCTTCTTCTTCTCCGATTACGGCTGACAATGCTTCAAGGTCCCATTCGTCTTCACTTTTGTGAGCCTCATCCGACGTGACTGCATTTCCTTCTGCTGGCTTCTTCCTCGACCAACAATTCCTCGCGATGTGTCCTTTCTTTCCACAGTTATAGCATTTCCCTTCAAATCTTCTATTTTCTTGAGTTTGTCCGCTCACATTTTCTTTCCTTTGTGCTCCCCCAAAATGAGTACTCCTCTCGTCTTCATCTTTGTCGTTGTCGTTTCTTTTCCTCCAATGACAATTTTTATTATATCGACCTCCGATATTCTTTACGAAAAGTAATTCTTCATCATTCTTGGATGAGGCTTGGAACATTTGCTTAGCTAACGCTTCTTGGTCAGCTAGCAAATTTTCCAACTCTACGAGAGAAGGTTGGGTGGGCCAACCTTGCACAGCAGCAATAAAACTTCTATATTCTTGCATCAATCCATGAATGATTATTCTCCTAATCCCAGAATCCGACATACCAGCAGACGAATCTAAATTAGAAATTTCACGACAAAGACTTTACCTTAGCAAAATATTGGTTTATCGTCATGTCTTGTTGCGAGATGGAGAGGAGCTTGTTCTCTAAAAGTTGCAACCTCGCATCGTTCCTCTTCGAGAACAACCCCGCGAATGTGTCCCATGCGTATTTCGGTGTCTTCGCATCTCTAATGTGCTCTAGCATCTCTTCCTCGATGGTGGTCTTGATAGCGAACATGGCCTTGCCAGCTTTAACCTTCCATTTCTTCAGAGCTGCAGAGTCCTCCGGTGGTGTAACCTCACTACCGCTCACAATTTCCCACAAATCTTGGCCTTGCAAATATGACTCCATGTACGTCGACCACGTGCTGTAATTTTGATTGTTAAGCTTCTTGATACCTCCAACCACTTGAAGGTCTCCCATCGTGGCTCCACCCGATTAACTTGCCACACACTCTGCAGTACTAAACTGCACACGACCTTTGCAGTACGAAGCTGCAAAACTACGATCAAGAAGCTCGACACAACAACTCGTACCTCAACCAACGCCAGACTCCGCTCACCTGGCTCTGATACCACTTGTTGGGTTGGGTACACTCGCAACACGTGGACACTAATGTAATTACTTTATTAGATTAACAAAGTAATTACAAAACACAATATGGACCAGGCTACAATACTTCACTTATCAAGACCAAAGCACCCTATCTATGACACTCACTCACTATTTTACTTAGACTCTTGGATGCTTGTATGATGCTTGGATTATTGGGAATACATTGCAAATGAGGTGGTCTTTCCTATTTATAGTCACCCCTTCCTCTAAAGAACTATCTAGAACTACTCACATTCAAGGGGCTTCCCTAACACTCTTGTCATTTCTAGACTATTCTAAAACTTACTAATATTATGTATAATGTTCTAGACTCATCCACATAAGTCTAGTTCCTACAATATTCCACAACCTTCTTGTAGTCTCTATTACCTTCTAGAATTTTCTACGTCCTTCCGCTAGCTTCCACAAGCTTCTCAATCCTTCTACAAAATTCCAAAACCTTCCACATTTTTCCGGATTGTTCTAGATGCTTCCGGGTCCTTCCCAAAAGGAGGTGTTGATATTTTAACAATATGTATATACCATATGTTTATATTGATAAATCAAATTCACATGTAATATATAAGTCAAGACTTGCGAGACTTTAGAGAATTGAGAAACACACAATAGTTGAACTGTACAAGATTGTAAATAGAAACTCAAAATAGTTACTACGCTCAAAAGTATATAAGCACTAAACCTAATTAAAAATTTTATATATAACCTCTCAATATTAATAGAGCTGCAACTTGCCACTGTAGAAGCTAAGTTCTGCAGATTGTATTGTTTATTTTTAAAATTTATTCACTAAAGAACAAAGCTTGAGTGCTATTTAATGAATAAACTTGTGTTTTGAACTAAAAACTCACTTTTCTTATTTTGTTTATCAATTGTCAACAGAGGACCAAGATTCCAACTCATCTCATTTCTAAAATTAAATGCCCAATGTTTCGGTAGTGGAAAAATTGGAGATTTCATCCTCTAATTGGCACCTATTTGAAGTTTGATCATTCACGTCACTTTTGGAAAATATCCCGTAAAAATGCAAAAAAACCTGATATTTCGTCCTGACACCGATAAATGCAGGTCACTTTAATTTACCGGGTTGCTGAGGTGGACTTTCAACTGNGATATACTACTTTTAATTATAAAACATATACATCATTTATTTATTAAATATTTATTGATTACCAAATAAAGATTAGTAAACTAAATAAATAATAATATTATATTATTTAATTACCTAGATTAATTAAACTTTTATTATCATTAATATTATTTTTATTCTAATTTACCTCATTAAGTTTTAATTAACTTTTTACATATTAAAGAAATATTTACTAATCAATAAGTATATGAAGTAATATAGCAAATAAATATATTAAATAATATAATTTTACTTAACTTATTTAAATCTATATATAATGTATATATTCATTAAATAATATTAATACATAAGTAAATATATATATATATATATATATATATTAAATAATATACTTAATATATATTAAATATATTACATAACTAAGTAAATATATATTAATTAAATGAATGTATATTAGATAAATATATTAAAGGATGTTAAAAAAAATATATATATATACTAAATAATTATTTAGTAAATAAATTTTTTGATTATATATTTAATATATTAAATTAAATTAAATTTATATTTTTATTCATATATTAAATATATATTTACTAATAAATAAAAATGTTAATAATAAATAAATAAATACTTAATATAATTAATTATATTAAATATTTATTTATTAAAAATTTAATTCAATATATTAAATATTTTTAATATATATTTAATAAATAATTATGTTAAATATTTTTTAGTAACTATATAATTAAATAAAATTTATTTACAAAATATATTTTTTTAATTAAATTTATACTAAATAAATATTTAATATATATAATGAAATTTTATTTTTATATGAGATAAATATTTACTAAATAAATAAATATATTAAATAATATAATATATAAATAAATATTTACTAAATAAATAAATTTATTATATAATATATTAAATAAATATACTAATATATTTAAAATTAAATAAAATAAATTAAAAAAACAACAAAAATGATAATAAAATTTAAATTAAACAAAATACTATACTTAATATTTATTTATTTTAATTTCATTATTTAAATACGAAATTTTATTAAATTTGTATTAATTACAAAATAAAAATCATTAAACTAAATAAATAAATAAATAATATTTTTTTATTTAACTTTTAATTATATGTTTTACTTAATTATATTTATTTTCATATGTAACTTAAAGATTTGAGCGATTCGAAGCCTATTGTCCCCATTTTGCTTATTGACAAACTTTATTATTTAATGTATTTGTATTTTATTAATTCATAAAATAAAGTTATTATATATAATACTTACTCTATTGTTTATATTTATAGACAACATTGATCGATTTATGTTGTTTCAAAACATCCAATTAACCCAACTTGAAATTAAATAGCATAGTCTTTTGGCGGAATTGATTATACGATGTCGCTTGATCATTTAGGATGAAACTTTAATGATAAATAAATATCACTTCCAGGCGGTTGAAAATATCTTACGAGCCTTAATATTGGAAGTAGGGGATCCATCGCGGAAAAAATTTTCGTTGGCGGCAAATCTTTTAGACAAATTCTTTTCATTATCCCTAAAGGCAATCGAAGTGACATAGAATGCCACAATCAATTCATCCAGGTTGTAGCAGGATTGTATAATTCTGAGGCTAAATCGGTATATGAGGATTCAAAGCATTGGTATGGGTGAT